CATCCATCTGTCCGTCAGTCACACCTGGGGGCGGTCCCGCTCTCTGTCGCGACTCCGCGATGTCGCCGACACCGGGAGGAGCCGCTCTCCTCCCGCATTCCCCGCTGGCCGCGGGGCGGGGATGGAGGGATCGGGGTTGGGAAGGGAAAGGCGGGAATCGATCCCCGCCCCATCGGGACAATCGATCCCCGCCCCGATCGGGATCGGTCCCCGCCCCATCGGGACGATCGATCCCCGCCCCGATCGGGATCGATCCCCGCCCCATCGGGACGATCGATCCCTGCCCCGGTCGATGCTTCCTGCCCCGGGGCTCTGTTGCGCCGCTCCCCGGCTCTCGTTTTTCCCGTGTGGATCGCTCCGGGAGCGGCGTGCGGCCGCCGCGTCCCCCCGCTGCCGTCCCCGTCCTCCCTCCTCCTCCGGCGGCCGCACGAGCCTCTGGAATTCCCGCATGGATCGGGAACAACGGCGCGGGAGGCTCCGACCTTCTCCTCCTCCATCCTCCGAGGGATGCGCGGCCGGGACGGCGAGAGCCGCGCCCCGACGGCATCGCCGCCGCTCCGGGCAAAAAGCGGCGACCGCGCGGCCGAGCAGCACCGGCGGCTCCGCGTCTTTTTCCGGGCTTATTTCTGTATTTTCGGGGGTACCGGCGGCGCGGGAGCGGCCGCGGGCGGTGCCGGCCGGGGGGGGTGGGTGGTGGGCTGGGAGGAGGAAGGGGGTGGCGAGCGGGCGGAGGGGGAGGCTGGCAGAAATGCAAATCGCTGCCTCTCGCTGCGCCTCGGCAGCCCAGAGCCCGCACGGCCCCGCCGCCGCTCGCAGCTCAGCCCCGGCAGGCGCGGGGGCAACGGGCGGGGTCCCCCCGGTCCCCCCGCCCCTCGGCCGGCTGGCAGGAGGAGGATGAGGAGCGCCGGGAAGGGCTGAGGGTGGCGGAGAGGCTCCTAGGAGAGGGTGAGTGGTGGGGGACGGAGCGACAGGAGAGAGGGAATAGGGCGGGGATGAAGTAGGGAGAGACGGGGGAGCGAGGGAGGGGAGAGCTGGAGGGGAGGGAGGCGAAAGAAATAATTGGGAAAGGAGGGATGAAAGCGGAGGATAAAGAAAATGGAGGTTAATTAGTTGGTTATTTCGCTGGCGGGGAGTTGGGGGAGGAAAAAGCCTGATAGAGGCGAGGAGAAGAAAAGTGAGAAGGGTGGGAAGAGCGGGCTGGGAAAGGGAGAAGGAAAAACCTGATCCAGCCGGGGAAAAGAGAGTGAGAAGGGTGGGAAGAGCCGGGAAGGGGAGAGGGAAGGAAAAACCTGATCCAGCCGGGGAAAAGAGAGTGGGAAAGGTGGGAAGAGCCGGGAAGGGGAGAAGGAAGGAAAACCCGATCGAGCCGGGAAAAAGAGAGTGGGAAAGGTGGGAAGAGCCGGGGAGAGGGAAGGAAAACCCGATCGAGCCGGGGAAAAGAGAGTGAGAAGGGTGGGAAGAGCTGGGGAGGGGAGAAGGAAGGAAAAACCTGATCCAGCCGGGGAAAAGAGAGTGAGAAGGGTGGGAAGAGCTGGGAAGGGGAGAAGGAGGAAAACCCGATCGAGCCGGGAAAAAGAGAGTGAGAAGGGTGGGAAGAGCTGGGAAGGGGAGAGGGAAGGAAAACCCGATCGAGCTGGGAAAAAGAGAGTGGGAAAGGTGGGAAGAGCCGGGGAGGGGAGAAGGAAGGAAAACCTGATCCAGCCGGGAAAAAGAGAGTGAGAAGGGTGGGAAGAGCCGGCCAGGGAGGAGGAAAGAAAAACCTGCTGGAGCCGAGAAAAAGCGAGCGAGAAGGGTGGGAAGAGCCGCCGCGAAGGGGAGCAAAGCGGGGGAGAGGGCGAGGAGGGGATGCGCGGGAGGCAGCGGGCGGCAGCCGGGGGGAGCCGGGCACAGACAATGGGGCGCGGCCCCGCCGCCTGCAGCTCCCGAGGGCGGGCGGGGCCGGGGCGCGCTGGCGCTGAGCCCCGCGCTGTCCCCTGCCAGGGGGACATGGCCCCGCTGCTGGCGCTGCTGCTGGCGGCCCTGCTGGGCTCGGGCCGGGCGTGCCCGGAGCCCTGCGCTTGTGTGGACAAGTACGCGCACCAGTTCGCCGACTGCGCCTACAAGGAGCTGCGGGCCGTGCCCGCGGGGCTGCCCTCCAACGTGACCACCCTGAGCCTGTCGGCCAACAAGATCAGCTCGCTGCCCCGCGGCGCCTTCGCCGAGGTGACCCAGGTGAGCTCGCTGTGGCTGGCGCACAACGAGATCGCCGCCATCGAGCCCGGCGCGCTGGCCGCGCTGGCGCAGCTCAAGAACCTGGACGTCAGCCACAACCAGATCGTGGAGTTCCCCTGGCGGGACCTGCGCAACCTGAGCGCGCTGCAGCTGCTCAAGATGAACAACAACCGCATGGCGCTGGTGCCGCCCGACGCCTTCCGCACGCTCAAGGACCTGCGCTCGCTGCGCATCAACAACAACCGCTTCGCCACGCTGGCCGAGGGCATCTTCGACTCGCTGGGCTCGCTGTCGCACCTGCAGATCTACAACAACCCCTTCGAGTGCTCCTGCGCGCTGCGCTGGCTGAAGCGCTGGATGGAGAGCACGCTCATCTCCATCCCCGAGAAGGACTCCATCGCCTGCGCGCTGCCCGAGCGCCTGCGCGGCGTGCCGCTGGCCAAGCTGCCCGAGCTGAGCTGCGCCGCGCCCGCCGTCAGCCTCAGCTTCTCGCCCGAGCTGGACGCGGCCGAGCTGCCCGACGGCATCGCGCTGAGCCTGCACTGCGCCGCCAGCGGCTCGCCGCCGCCCGAGCTGCGCTGGAAGATCCGCACGGCCGGCCAGAGCCTGGAGCTCGGCGGGAGCGGCCCCGAGAGCACGGCCAAGGAGATGCCTCGGCCGGAGCCCGAGCGCTTCGTGGCCTTCAAGAACGGCACCTTGGCGATCCCGCGGCTGAGCAAGCGCGAGGAGGGCACCTACACCTGCGTGGCCACCAACGAGGTGGGCAGCAACCACTCCTCGGTCAACGTGGCCGTGGCGGGCGCGCAGAAACGCCCGCCGGTGCCCGGAGGAGACCCGCCGGGCGGCAAGGGGCAGGCAGGCGACAAGAAAGCCGCCGGCGAGGCGGCCAAGAACAGCGTGCTGACCCCGGAGGAGAGGGGCAAAGCGCTGGGCCCCACCCGGCAGAGCCGGCCCGGCTCGGCGGCAGGGCCGGAGCCTGAGGGCCGGGGCCTGGTCCCGGTGGAGCTGCCGGGCCTGGAGAAGAAATGTGGCTCCTCGGCGGGCGGCTCCAAGCACATCTCCAACCACGCCTTCAACCAGAGCGGCGACTTCAAGCGGCGCAGCTTCGACCTGGGCGTCATCGCCCTGGACGTGGCCGAGCGCGACGCCCGCGTCCAGCTGACGCCCACCCGGCCCGGCGAGGGCCACCTGGGCGTGCTCTACCTGTGCCAGCAGGGCCACCGGGGCCACACCCTGCTGCAGTGGTCGCAGATCGAGGCCGGCGTGAACTCCTACTGGTTCCAGGGCCTGAGCCCCGGCACCAACTACTCGGTGTGCCTGAGCTCGCCGGGCGAGGAGTGCCGGGTGCAGGTGGTGTTCACCACCAAGAAGGAGATCCCGTCGCTCATCATCATCGTGGTGGTCAGCATCTTCCTGCTGCTGCTGGCCACGCTGCCGCTGCTGGGCGCCACGTGGTGCCACCTGCTCGCCAAGCTGCAGGCCAAGCCCTACAAGCTGATCATGAAGGCGCAGAACCCCGACCAGATGGAGAAGCGCATGGCCGCCGACTTCGACCCCCGCGCCTCCTACCTGGAGTCCGAGAAGAACTTCGGTGCCGGCGAGGCCGAGGCCGAGGAGGAGGAGGAAGAGGAGGCGGGGGATGAAGAAGGAGCGCGCTGGAGGAGCGGCAGGGAGGGGGAAGGCGCGGCGGAGCTGGAGCGGGAGGAGAGCGTGGCCGCCAGCTCCATGGCGGAGTCGCAGTCCAAGGGCGGCGCCGAGGAGTTCGAGGTGCGCTCCGAGTACAGCGACAAGCTGCCGCTGGGCGCCGAGGCCGTCACCATCACCCCGGAGATCAACGGCAACTACCGGCAGCGGCCCCGCTGAGCCCCCCGAAGCCCCCGGCCCCCGCTCCCCACCCCCCGCTCGCCCGGGGGAAAAACCTCCGGGAACGAGCGGAGCCATCCCCGCCTCTCCTCCCCCTCCTCCTCCTCCTCCTCCTCCTCCTCCCCCTTCTCCCTCTCGCCCGGTGCCGCCGGGTTGAGCCTCCCACGATTTCGTTTCCATTTCGGGCAACAACGATTCCCGCTCCCCCGCCTCCCTCCGCCTCCCGCCAGCCCCGCGCTCGCTTTCCCCTCCGAGGAAAAAAACGAAAAAAACCCCGAGAAAACGGCTAAAAGCTAAAAACCCGATAGCCCCCAATTTTCTTTGCTGGAATCCGTTCAGTCCCCGCCGCTCCTCGGCGCCCGGTGAGTCCCCTCTGCTCCCCGCTTCTCTCCCGTCGAGCCCGGAGCGGTCCCCGCCGCTCCCCCGCTGCCCACCGCGCTCCGCCGCATCCCGGTTTTCCCCGGCGGGTGCCGACATTCCCGGCCCCGCTGCTCCCGGGCGGTTTTCCCGCTGCCCGATGGATCCCGGGGCTCCACGGTCTCCTCCACTCCCGGGCGATGCTCCCCGCGCCCCGGCGGGTGCCGACATTCCCGGTCCCCGCCGCTCCCGGGAGCTGATCCCTGGTCCCCGCGACTCCCGGGAGCTGATCCTCGATCCCCGCCGCTCCCGGGAGCTGATCCTCCCTTGCCGGGAGCTGATCCTCGATCCCCGCCGCTCCCGGGAGATGATCCCCGGTCCTTGCCGGGAGCTGTTCCTCGGTCCCCGCCGCTCCCGGGAGATGACCCCCGGTCCCCGCCACTCCCGTTCCCGGTGGGTCCTCGTTCTCCCTGGTCCTCGGCACTCCCAGGAGCTGATCCCCGGTCCCCGCCACTCCCGTTCCCGGTGGGTCTCGGTTCTCCCTGGTCCCCGCCACTCCCGGGAGCTGATCCCCGGTCCTTGCCGGGAGCTGATCCTCGGTCCCCGCCACTCCCGGGAGCTGATCCTCGATCCCCGCCCCTCCGGTTCCCGGTGGGTCCCCGTTCTCCCTGGTCCTCGGCACTCCCAGGAGCTGATCCCCGGTCCCCGCCACTCCCGTTCCCGGTGGATCCCGCTCTCCCCGTTCAGCACCGGATGAACCGGGACAGCTCCGCGCCCCACAAGGTGCCGGGGGCTCCCCAATCCCCGATCTCCAATCCCCAATCCCTGATTCCCGATCCCAAATCCTGATTCCTGGTCCCCAATCCCTCATTCCCGGTCCCCAGTTCTCGATCCCAAATCCCGATCCCAGACCCCCAGTCCCCAATCCCCGATCCCTCATCGCAAATCCCCAATTCCCGGTCCCCAGTCCTGATCCCCGGCCCCCACCAAATCCCCGATTCCCAGTCCCAAATCCCCGATCCCTGGTCCCCAATCCCCTATTCCCTACCGCAATTCCTGATCCCCAATCCTGATCCCCAATCCCTAGACCCCAATTCCTGATTCCCAGTCCCCAATCCCCAATCCCCAAATCCTCAATCCCCAATCCCCAATCCCCGATCCCTGATCCCCGGTCCCCAAATCCCCAATCCCCGATCCCCAAATCCTCAATCCCCAATCCCCAATCCCTGATCCCCGGTCCCCAAATCCCCAATCCCCGATCCCCAAATCCTCAATCCCCAATCCCCATCCCCGGTCCCCAATCCCCAATCCTCAATCCCCAATCCCCAATCCCCAATCCTCAATCCCCAATCCCCAATCCTCGATCCTCGATCCTCGATCCCCCGTCCCCAAATCCCCAATCCCTGATCCCCAAATCCCCAATCCCCAATCTCCAATCCCCAATCCCCAATCCCCAAATCCCCAAATCCCCAAATCCCCAATCCCCAATCCCCAATCCCCAATCCCCGATCCCCCGATCCCCAATTCCCAGTCCCCAAATCCCAAATCCCCAAATCCCCAATCTCCGATCCCCAACCCCCTCCCCTCGGTGTGTTTTGGTAGAGTAGCCTTGTAGCCCAGTGTGTGTGTGCCGCGGCCGCTTCCTCCGCGCGTTCCGTCCGACGAGTCAATAAAAGGGATTCTTGGAAGTGGAGCCGCCTCCGTGCTTTGGGGGAAAAAACCGGGATTTTGTCCCCAGGGCGCGCGGGGAGGGGACAGCCAGCAGGTGGCACCGCCACAGCCACCTCCTTTGATGCGCTTTCCCATTTTTTTTCCCCATATCCTAAAAAAAATTCATTTTTTCCGGCCATAAAGCAGGCGCGGAAATCGCGAGCGGAATCGCCCAAATCCATTAAATCTTCTCTTATAAAAATCACCCCGGAGGGGGGGGAAAAAAAAAAAAGGAATTTCATTTTCCCCCCGGTGCTCATCGGAATCCGCTGGAGCAAGGAAACATCCCACGGATGTGCGTTTTCCACCGTTTTATGGATCGTTTTCTATCATTTTCTACGCCGTTCTCTATCATTTTAATTCTCATTTCTGTCATTTTTCTGTAATTGATGTCATTTTAGATATGCTTTCTCCCATTTCAGATATGTTTTTATTATTTTATGTATTATTTCTATCATTTTAGAAATACTTCATCTGTCATTTTTTTTTTCTGTAGCTTATTTAATTTTTGATGGAATTTCTGCAATACTCGCCTCTTTATTTTTGTTAAAAAAACACCCAAAACCCTGCTCTTTTTTTGCCTTTTTCTCCCCAGATTCCTCTGCCTGCTGGTGCCACCTGGGTTCCCAAGCTCTCCCAGCACTCATCCCAAAATTCCCACTGGATTTCTGCTCCCAATCCATCCCACCAATGAAATCCCCCCCTGGCAATCCAACATTCCTTTCTCCAGGGGAAAAAAATGCAGAAATCCCCCCAAAATCCACCAAAAATCCCCCCAATCCCAGGGATCTGAGGCTGATCCAGGAGTTGGATCTGCCTGGCAGAGCCTGGATATTCCCATAATTGCTGGCATTCCCATAATTAATTGTGACTATTCCCATAAATGTTGACATTCCCATAATTGTGGACATTTCCATAATTGTTGGCATTCCCATAATTATTGGTATTTCCCTAATTGTTGACATTCCCATAATTGTGGACATTCCCATAATTAATCGTGAATATTCCCATAATTGGTGACATTCCTGCAATTATGGACATCCCCATAATTGTGGATATTCCCATAATTGTGAATATCTCCATAAATGTTGATAATCCCATAATTGTGGATATTCCCTTAATTGTTGACATTCCCATCACTGTGTCTATTACCATAATTAATTTTCAATATTCCTGTAATTGTTGACATTCCCATAATTGTGAATATCTCCACAATTGTTGACATTCCCATAACTGTGAATACTATCATAATTAATTTTGACTATTCCCATAATTCTAGACATTCCCATAAATGTTGACATTCCCATAATTGTGGATAATATCTCCATCATTGCTGACATTCCCATAATTGTGAATATTCCCATAATTGTTTGCATTCCCATAATTATTGGTATTTCCCTAATTGTTGACATTCCCATAATTGTGAATATCTCCATCATTGTCAATATTCCCATCATTGTGGATATCCCCATAAATGTTGACATTCCCATAACTGTGGATATTATCATAATTAATTGCGAATATTCCTATAATTGTTGACATTCCCATAACTGTGAATATCTCCATCATTGTTCCCATAATATTCCCATAATTGTGGATATTCCCATAATTAATTGTGAATATTCCCATAATTAATTGTGAATATTCCCATAATTGGTGACATTCCCATAATTGTGAATATCTCCATCATTGTTGATATTCCCATAATTGTTGACATTCCCATAACTGTGGATATTATCATAATTAATTGTCACTATTCCCATAATTGTTGACATTCCCATAATTGTTGACATTCCCATAACTGTGAACATTCCCGTAATTGTTGATACTCCCATAACTGGATATTACCATAATTAATTGTGAATATTCCCATAATTGTGGGTATCCCCATAAATGTTGACATTCCCATAATTGTGAATATCTCCAACATTGTTGATATTCCCATAATTGTTGGCATTCCCATAATTGTGAATATCTCCATCATTGTGACTATTCCCATAATTTGGGTAGTCCCATAGTTGTTGGCATTCCCATAATTGTGGATATTCCCATAATTAATCGTGAATATTCCCAAAATTGTTGACATTCCTGTAATTATGGATATTATCGTAATTAATTGTGAATATTCCTATAACTGTCGACATTCCCATAATTGCGAATATCTCCATCACTGTTGATATTCCCATAATTGTTGACATTCCCATCACTGTGGCTATTATCATAATTAATTGCGAATATTGCTATAATTGTTGACATTCCCTGAACTGCGAATATTCCCGTAATTGTTGACACTCCCATAATTGTGGAAATTCCGGTAATCGAGCGTCGCGCTCGGGAGTCACGGCGGGAGTGGAAAAGAACAATCAAGCCAGCCGCCTTTAATTAGGGAACCGCAGATTCCCGGGAATGCAGGATGAGGCCGGGGTTTGCTGCTCTCCAGGAGGGGGGGTGGGGGAGGGAATCGGCATTTCTCCTGGAAAAAATTCCTGCTGGGAATGGTGAAAGCAGCCATGGAGTGCTCGCAATTCCCAAAAATCCTCCGGTTTTATCCCCGTGGCCGGAATGAAGGGAGAGCTCACAAGGGAATTGCAGACATACAGTGAGAATGGCCCAGCTTGAGCAGCCAGGATTTCCCAGTTTGACCAGTTGGGAATGTCCCAATTTAACCAGTCAGGAATGTCCCAGTTGGGATTTCCCAGTTTGACCAGTTGCGGATGTCCTAGTTTGACCAGTTTGACCAGCTGGGAATGTCCCAG